GCATTCCTCTGTCGTTGTTTTTCCTGTTAGTTGTGACTGGGTATGCAACTGGACTCATTAGAAGAAAAGTGACTGGATTTGTGATGGCCTGGACTAGCCACAGTGACTTAATGTGGTTTGAAAGCACAAACAAATAGTGGATTTTAAGGATTCAGGAACATTCCAAACAATAACATCCAGAGTGTGAGAGTTGTGTGAGAGTGAAATTCTTCTCTCTGGTCACTTTCTTTTTTTTGTAGCTGATCAAGTCTTTGCTGGTTGCCTTCATGCTGCTGGGCATCATCCCATTCCTCTTGGGCCTCCTCTTTGAGGTAGTGGTCGTGGTGCCCATCCGCGTTCCTCTGGATCAGTCCCCTGTCTTCTTCCCCTGGCAGGTGAGTTGCCCCCTTCCCCCAAATCAGCAGACCGATCCAGTTAGCCCCTCATTGGCTGCACACAGCGGCAGCTTACAAGCGCTCCTCCGCAGTGCCACAGATGAGCAGCGGTCTGCATCATACACGCTTGCCTGCCTGCATGTTGGCCTGATTGGTCAGAACAGAACAGGATGAAGCTAAGTGGATCAGTCATTTGAAATTCTTGTGTGTGCGTTGATTTCTTGGAGGTGTGCTACAAATATGTTCCAGTGATTGGTTCTTCTTATTTGTGACCTGTCATCACAAAATGAGCTGGAAGTCAGAATTTTCAAAAATTGAGATATTTGTATTTTGGAATTCAGTAGAAAGAGAGCTGTCCAATGGCATGTACATGGAACACTTAGGGTAGAAGTATAAGACGACAATGTGACATTATTCTGGCAGCTCTGTGTCTTTGTTTCTGACATTGTTTCAACATTTCTGACCAGGCATGAATAATGATACCATCGAAATTGCTGAGAAAATGACACTTTTAAATATGTGATATATATTTGGAATTACACAGGAAATGTGCTACTCTTCCAAATATATTAATTCCCCCCAAAATTGACCTCCACTTCAGTGTGACTTTGAACCCTCAAACTAGGTAAGAGCTGGATGCGACTTTACGCCCATTTTGTCGTGACAGGTCACATTGTCTTTCCCTTTAGAAGGTCCTCAGGAATATGCATCATGCCAAGATTAATTTCTGGAATCTTAATTTTAGTGAGCAACTTGCCCATCAACTCCTTTCAGTCTCTGTCCAGGATGTCTTGGGCTCTGTTCAGCCTCTCGAGATCCTTAACTTCCAGCGAGACTTCAGATCATTCTAAAGCTCAGAAATCCAAAGAGCAGAGTTAGCGTTTGTGACACGGGAAAGGTTGGGAGGAAATTGAGTGCGCCGTGGGAAGAGTGAGTGGGCACTGTGGGTGAAGGTCATGGTTTGTGATTTGTCTTTGTTTGCCAGGACTGGGCGCTGGGAGTTCTACACGCCAAGATCATGTGCGCCGTCACTATGATGGGGCCCAACTGGTGGCTCAAAACTGTCTTGGAGCAGGTGAGTAAACAACCTGCTGTCGGGTCCGTCATTCCTCACGGGCATCACAGGAGACGACTTGCCTGGTAGAATTTTGCTGGAGTATTGCTGGTGGGAGGGTTATAGAGGGGCTGAATACACATGTTCCACACCAACAGACCCTGCCTGACCTGTCTAGCAATATGTGAATGATATCATGGCACTATACCCTTTGATGACATTAAGCGTGTGGGACCTACGATTGAGAGGTGGCAGAGCTGTGTCACAGTAGATGTATGTACGCCTACCATAGACCCTGCATCGATGACTTGATGCACACCCTGTGCCTCTGCGATGCAAATGTGTGAGGCTGTGGTGGACACAGGGTGTGTTGTAGTTGCATTCCCAGACTGGACACCCAACAAAGAGAAGCAATTCTGTTTCGTCCAACAGAATTACTGCCGACAACAAAAGACACACGAAAGGCTGTGTGAATGCTCATTGCTTTTACTTCAATGACATGTTGAACTTTAAATCAGTGTCGTGTTTTTGGTCTTCTCAAGGTTTACCAAGACGGCTTTCGTAACCTGAATCTGGGTTTCATCACAAGGAGAGTGGTCCTGCCGGTGGTCACATGTCTACTGCTGGTCCTGGCGGCGCCTTACGCAGTGGCAGCAGGTGTCACGCCACTATTAGGTGAGTAGACTGTAGTTCCATTGTTAACGTACATTTGCAGCTTTTTGTTATTGAGTGGGTTAGTTGATTGACAAGTTTTTTCAAAGTGCTCATGCTAAATAGAGAGAAAACAATACATCTGCACTGGATCGGACTGGACAAAGCGCTGGTCTTAACTTAAATCTCGTATCACCCAAGCCTGTATTTAAAGATTTTTTTCCTTGTAGGAATGTACACTCTTTGGTCGGGACTGGCAAAATATGCTCGTCTTAACCAGAATCTCATCTTACCTGGACTCGTATTACAAATAGTCGACTGTACTCACAATGCTTTATAAGTACTTCAAGTCTTTGCAAGCTCTCAGAAAACCGTCACATATAGTCATAAGTACCTCAGTCTCATTGAGCCACAAGCCAGTCATGCTCGACTGTAAATAAACACGTCCCTTTGTTGTTGTTCGCTAAATGTCGGCAGTAATAGTGTTCTCACTGAAACCGACCATACATGGGGTGACTTGTGACAAATGGTTGTGAAGGACTCGTGAAGTGCTCAACCACAACTCTTTGTCTGAAACCTGGGCTGCGCTTTATTCTTCACGGGAGTGACCCTGTGAAACTGTTAGTGGCACAGTTGTAAGAAGCCTTGCTTGTGGACAGCAGACTTGCGAATCATGACAAGGATAGATATTAAAACCAGAGTGGGTCAGAGATGGGCACAACCTAGCAATGCCATGGAAACAGTCATTCAAATTGGAGTTATTTTTTGCTCTTTTAAAAAAAACTGTCCAGGTCTGGGAGAAGATGTTAATTTACTGGTCGTCCGCCGCATCTACCCTTGCCTCGTTACCTCCATCATCACAATGGCTGCCATGGTGTTCCACCTCAAGCAGTTTAAGAAGCTGTATGAGCACATCCGAAATGACAAGTGAGTGAAAGAGGAAGGCCCAGATGTTTGTTTAGTCTCACGTCACCACCGTCTGGCGGGACGCTGGGTTCCGTGGGACTTCCCTTTTGCGTTTACTGCACTGGTTTAGATGCTGAGAACTCAACACTCAGGCTTGGGTTGTTGCTAGTGTGATGCATGGGCATGAATAGGATTTTTTTTCCCAGGGGAAAGACCGCTTTTTTCTGGGGGGGGGTGGATTTTTGGGAAAGGGAGCGGCAAAACAGGTGCCCCTCCCCTCCCTGATGCCCATAAGTCTCTGTGTGAAGAAAGGAAGAGAGTCTTGCCCAGGTGGGACTTGAACCCACCATCCTCTGCCTTCTCGGGTAAGCGTGCGAGCAAGAGGTCACTCCATCCTCTCCATGGGAATCCAGTAACCTTTTCTTTCAGTTGCCAGTGAAAAACATTGCTCATACAGTGCTAAAAGCTGTAACGTTGGGGAAAATGTGAACATTATGCATGCAGCGTGAACTTATTTTCATTGTGAATGTTACCCCAGATTTTGCTGAAGGTAATCAAGTTTTAATTTCCTTTTGGTATTCCAGGTATCTCGTGGGCCAGCAGCTCGTTAATTACGATCCCAGAGATCAAAGCAAAAAGGACCACGCAACTCAGACAGCAGCCCAATAAAGTCTGGTATCCCGTGCCAGTGTATATAACCAATCTTGTATATTTCACATCGTCATGTACAATTTATACTATTTATCAATTGTGTTGATTTTTTTTTGCCGACGAGTGACCCAGCATCAACATGAGCCTTGTTTTTGAATATCTTTAGATATTTTATTGGCCCCACGCTGCCAAGACCCATTCTCATCTGTTGTAGAAGCATCTCCGTAATGAAAGAACAACCAACCTATTTTGAACAACCAACCAACATCTTTTTTTAAGGTCAGCGTCCTTTGATGTAGTTAACTCAATGACCTTTCTGTAACCGTGATGAGCCCATGATGAGCCCGTGATGAGCCCGTGATGAGCCCGTGACACGCTCCGAGATTCCGGGCATTCTCTGTTACTCTCCAACAATCAGACTGATGCAAAGTTTTGCCACAACAGTGATTGTAGTCTCATGCCAAAATCTGAAATATAACACGGACAGCTCCCCAACAGATTGGGAGATGTAGTTTGTAACCGACGTGTACCCACATTTGTTGATTACTTTTGTCCAAGGCCATCCCGTCATGGAGTACGAAGTTTATTACCAGATTTTAAGATGGTTTGGTGTGGTTAACAAATGTTGGATTGCAAAGACTTACCAGAATAAAAATTAAATAAATGATTTTAGAAAGCATTCACCCAGAAGTATTTCTGTCCCACTGTTTAGTTTAAACAGTTTTTTCTCTTAATGCTGTCGATTGTTGGTGGTTCTCTCTCTATGTTTGCTACGAACCAAATAATTGGGAGAAAAAAAAAAGAACTACCGTAGGTACTTGACATCAGCCGTGGTCTAAGGGCATTCAGGTATTGCCTTTTGTCCCTGGACATGAAGATTTGGGTCCACAGCAAATGATTTTTGCGACATGAAAAGACTATTTGAAAATATTGAGAATTCTTGTGATCGGGCGTAGTGTACTTGACACAACAAAAAAGTGAGAGCACCCTGAAAAAAATCCTGATAAACAGTCACTAATGCATGTGGTAACATCGTGATTCGTTCCTCAAACTTATTGTCGTCACTTTTGTTGGGGCAGGGGGGACACAAAGATCTGTTACGGTAAGAGCACCTTTGAATGTTAAGGGCTTTGTCGGTTTAATGTGGAGATAAATTGAAAGAGCACTTCTTGTATTTAATTTCCCCCGGACCGTCTTACACTCTTCTGTCTTGCTGAAACTGCACTCAACGTACTTGTGATTTTTTAAAACTAATTCACATCTTACCAATATACATTTTCCTTTGCTGCATATGCCTAGAGTTGTTGGTCCACCCAACAGGTTTTATGTTGGAGATATACGGCTGAAAAATGAACCGCAAAATTCAAAATCATTAAATTTAAAGTGACTAATGTATGCTAAGCAGAGTTTCTTACAAGGGCTGGCATCGCTGCTTAATGAGCATAGCTGATGTTTTCTCTTTGGTAATAAAAACCAGAATGCGATTTTAATGCAGATGTGTTTGGACGTGTGCCATTGTGTTTGTTACGTGATTAGTTTGCTGGGCATTGTTTTGTTGTGGGTGAGTTGGGGATTAAGTTCGGGAATCATGGTGGTGGTCGGTGCATGATCCCCATGGGGATTGTCAATACTGAAATTCCCTCCCCTGGGGCAGTCTTTCCATGTGGTGTATCAAACATGGGAATACCTGTATTTTAAGCTTGGGTTACAAACACCCTCATACTGGGGTTTGAAAAATTCCTGGGGTCTATACTAGGGCCGGGGGTGTGTGTCACATCGTTGATGGGTGAACGTGTCTAACAACACCAACATGGATATGGAGAATTGAGCATTAACGGAGTTACCCATTGTACATAAAAATAACTTCTACCGCCTCAGTCCTGGCTCTACTTCTTATTCATCTTCCTGACACGAATTTTCTGAGTCACTAACCCCTCCCTCCACTTTGGCATTAATTTATAGTGGGGATGCTCTTTTCTCGAAACTGAAATTGAGACCCAGAGAGAACGAGCGACTGTTTCAAGTCTCTGCTGGTTTAGTCACACAGAGCCCTCGGGGGTCGCGACATTTCGATCTATTGACATGTCATCTGTCGTAAACAGAGCCAGCCGCTGAGGCCCTTTGAAATGTAAATAAGAGCGTTTTTGTTGTCCCTGTCCCCGACTGTGTACGGCGGCGAGTCTCACGTGGTGGCGGGTTGCCTTGGCGAAACAAACCCTGCTCGCTGCGCTCATTTCCAGCGGTAAGGTGCTTAATCGCACTAGGCGGATTTGAGTACACCGCCGTATTACAATGTCACGGCAGGGGTGAGTGAGAGAGCCGACTACGAAATGCAACGAGACTCGTGTTGGCGAATGTTGGGATTATAAGCAGTAACCACGGAAAGATTATCATAGTCCTTCACATTTCTAACAATGTCGCGTAACGAGTGGGTTGTTAGGGTGGTTTCAGGCCCACTTTAATTTGCATGCATGATTGATAGTTTCGTCGACATTCAGCCGCATTCAGTCGTACACATTCAGCCGCAATGTGATCCTGGCATGCTCGGCAAAAGACCATCCCGGATACGGAAAGACAGGTGTGAAAAATGGTGAGTGTGATAATTTTCTAAAGGAAAGAGGCATGATGGTGGTTGACTGGAGAAAGGTGGTTTGGAATGGGGGTTAGGCCTATATAGGAGCAGAGAGTGCTTACAGAAAGGCAGTTGGTACTCCAAGTTACCAGTATAAAACATTCCCCTCATTTCCCCCAGTTTCCATTCTTTACCCCCTATACAAGAAGTTTTGTTACAGGTGAATCTGCTGTTGACATCTTGAGCCAATTTGAAATCTTTTTATTTGAAATTTACATTTTCCATCTTCACCTTTAGCCTGAAAAATCAAATGGTAAATATTGCGCTCAGTCGTGGGGGGGGGGTGTAAGTCGAGGCATTATAGCGTGCCTGGCGAGATGTAACAACGTTATGTATAGGAAATATTTTCCCAGTATTCAATTTGTTTGAAGTATGCCCATGTTGGCCCAGTTTTATAATGCAATCAAAGTTTTCTTTCAAACGGATATGCTCTCCCTATAGGCCCCCGTCACAATAATTTTTAATTATTTCGCCATTGAAAATTTTGTTATAACCTAATAAATCCGTTACAGTCCAGAAAAGTAATGCTCTACGACGGTGTTAAAACAACTTTGTTATGTCCGAACCACTTCGGTTTTGAAACTCGAACACGCCAAAATATCACTCAGAAATGTGTGCTCTCTTGGCTCACTGGACAGCACGAATTGCTGCCTTCTTGGAAACTGAGAGGTGCGGAATTTTGACCTGAGTTACGCATCTGAGACACAATCCAAAGATGAAGGCCGCCCCCCGCCAAAACAAATTCGGTGATTCGCCTGGATCACTTTCGCCGCGTACGCACAAAGTTCTTATCACAATAGCGATTCTGAAAGCGTGTCCTTGTAGCCTCATACATTTTGAAATAGACTTTTTATTAATTCTGCTTAAATAACGACACGATTTGTTCACTGGTTGCGAGTTAGTATACAGTGACAGAACGCGGCGCAAATAAAATCTTGTGGGCGTGTGCAGTTCATGTGAAGCTTAATTAATCAGCCATTTGAAACGTTAACACGGAGCAATAAATTCCAGAAAAAAAGTAGGCCTGTTTGATCTGTGGAGTCCAATTTCTGATATACTGCAGATAAGAGATCGTTTTACGACCTGGGATGTGCTGATGAGGTTAATCATTAACAGGGCATGTGCAGTATTAAACTTAATTGCGAGCCTGGTGCGTCGGGTGCGTCGGGTCTGTGATTGGATCCGTGTGAGGTCCGATCAGAGGTCGGACGCGGAGTAGACTCGATGTGACATCGAAGCCACTAAATCACCGTCGCTCCTAAATGTCACGGCAGTTTCCTGCTGGTTGTTGCGCAAAAACACCACAGTTTAGGACAGTCTTGGGGTGGCCTTCCTTTCTGCGTCATTCAACCAGAATCGATAGATGTTTTCCGCTTTTAGTGATCGATATATCCCCTGCGCTGAAATGTCTGCGTGACATACCGGTAAACAATATAACTCAAGTTTGATTTGCCAAAGAAAATGTCCTGCCTTTTTCAAAGAAATTGTCCAAAATAAAGCCTATTAATTTGTTGTTGTCATTGAATCATTAATTAAGATAAAAGTTTTTTTCTGATCAACATCCAATTCCGTTCCTAGGAGCTCCAGAAAATCTCTAAGCTTTTGTTCAGAGCAACGAGGTGACGTAGTGTCCCCCACTTATCAACGCAATGACCCATGTTGGAGTTCGCGATAATACGGGCCGCTTCGTCGAAACCTTCGAGGTCTTCGCCAAACTCCCTGGGCCGGGCTCGCTGGCTCCCATCAGCGTCCGCCACCAGACCACCGTGGCTGAGCTCAAGTCCCTGATCGAGCTGGTGTGCGGCATTCCCACTGACCTCCAGCTTCTCTCCTACCGTCAGCACGCCGTGCTCACGGACGGGGATACCCTGGGTAAGCTCCTGGTTCTACCCGGGTCGCGCCTGCCTGTGAAGACCGCCTACGGGTACGACGGTCTGGTGGATGCTGCACTGAGAGGCGACTTGAAGGAGGTCATGAGGAGCGTTACTATGACAAAGGATGCAGACGGGCTGGCGAAGAGGATGTTTGTAGCTATGTTCATCGCAGCACATAAAGGGTATCACTATTTGGTTGAAAGGTAAATAATCTTCACAGGCAAATTAAAGAGTTAATTAGTTTTCCATTTGCATATTCATCATTGGTAGCGCTGTACACCCAAACTGTTTCACATAAATAATTGGATTATCCTCCAAAAAATAACATATTTCTCTATAAGCTTGCAGAAATGTAGAAAACAGTGTTAACAGGTTATTAAATCACAAATTTTGGAGTAAAAATCTGGAGCGCTGACTAGGCGTAAATAAATTTGCTCTGAACCCCTAGCAATAAATAGACAGTAGGCTAGTTTTATTTTAATAAAACGAAGGAGTTGTTAAAATTGGTTACAAAATGTCTAAATACAAAATTCTTAAACAAAATTATACAATTGCTGCCTATTAAGTTGGGCTTCAAGATCATTTGTTGGAATTTTAATGACATTACCGAGTGCGCAACCGGAATGATTTCTTGCAATCCCAATTTCGTATCATTCAGAATGCTTTGCGAAGGAGCTCATCCCGATTCGCAGACCCCCTCAGGAAGAACCGCCCTTCACGTGGCCTGCGCTATGGGCAATGGCGGCTGTCTGGACAGCCTGCTACAACACGGCGCCTCGCTGGACGTCCAGGACTCCTCGGGCAAGACGGCCGCTCACACGGCCGCCGCCTGCGGCCAGCAAGGCGCGCAGCGACGCCTCGTCTTGTACTCCAGGATCCGGGCCGACAGAGCCATCCGAGAGAAGCCATGCAGTTGGTCGACGTCCCCGAGGTTTCCCAAGTCGAAGCTGGGGAGCAGCGTGACGCCGACTTTGCCCATGCAAGAGCTGGCGATCTCCCCCGGGCCGGAGCTCATGATTACGGCATGGAATGGTCGCGAGCACCACCATCACTTCTTGAAGAAGAGACCATGGTCTGCCAAAGGTTCTCTTTTTCACAGTGACAGCAGTACCTCCAGTGCGGAGAGCTGGGGCTCCTTGAGAGAAGGGAAAAATCACAGTGCAGCAGCTGAATCGCATGAGGTATACAAGGCTAGATTCCATGCAGTCTTCGTTAATTATATATAACGGGTTTGCCCTTACCCAACGTATATTTATAAGCACTGTATGCTCAGTGCCCGCTGCTTCAT